AGCCATCTATTTTATTTTTTTGCAATTAATGAAATATATTTCACAGAAATGTCTATTTCGTCATCACAATCAAATTTCGTAAGTAATATTTGCTTCACAATACGACGTTTTTCTCTCAGTAATAGATACAATATTATACATTTCATACTTATGAGTAACCTAAAAATTACGATAATGTAAAAATCAAAACTGATTGAAAAGTAACTTTTAGTCATCATTTTGAAGCTATTTTAACGTTAGTTTGATGTCATGATGACTTGTTCTGCTTCTATAATACGTAAATAATAGATTAGCCGTTATTATTATATTATAGAAATTTTAAATACAGGTTTACAAATACGGGGCCACAAATGCGTTTTGATAAAACAGTTTCACGAAACGTGATATCCCATCCTTTGCTTTTATTACGTTCGGGAATTTGAAGTTTCGTTTGAGATCACTGCACGACAAAGTTTATCCCACATGCAGGAATCGCGATCTGCAGGAGTCGCGGTTCAATTTCGCGTCTAAACGCCCATAAGTTTGCGGTGAGGAGATTTTTGCGGGCGCATTCCCCGGGGAGGATAGAGGCTAGCTGAGCAATTTGTCAACACCATTAGTCCGGAAGGGAGAGGGATGCACTAAGGGTAGACTTCGACGCATCTGCTAGCTCGATTGCAAGGCCGCGCGATAATAAAGGGGTAGTTAATGACTAACGGGGGCTGCACAGATCGGAGCCGACCGTATGCCGCCCTGTTGACAAAATATTGAGTCTCCCGTCGGCCGAGCGGGGATAACAGATTTTCCGCGGCGATTCTTCTTGCATCGAATTTCCGCTCGCAATCTCGATCCGATCGTCCAGCTATTTCCGCATCATTTTCATTAGAGCATGGCATTGCTTTTATCGCGGTCGACGCTGGCATTAATTTCCATCGACGTGCTGATATTAATAGAGTTCGCGTAATCCCACGATATTAATGACAATAATATGTGGGGTAGCGTTCACGATAGAAATTTTAATTCGCTCGCGGCCGCTTTGAATTTATCAATATCCTACCTGTTGACCCGATCAAGCGCGGCGACAAATAATACGAAAGTGAGCCAGCTCGAGTAGTAATAGGGCAGTTAAATGAAAAATCATTGAGAGTGCATAATGCTTAGGAAAAATAAGCAATGTTGAGAATAATCCTAATAATTGTAAATTGCGTACAACAAAGTATGCATTTCATCCTCTGAACGAATTCATAAGCCGAAACAAGCCGATTTATCCATCCTCGTGGAATTCATCTACATATGTAGACGCAAGTACGATTTATTGTTGGAAGAGCGAGTGAAGAGAAAGTTCGATACATTCACGAGAAAAATGAAGCTCTTTTTAGAGTACTCGCGATCCTGAATGGTAGGAATCGCTGGCGCGAGTCTAGGACTGGAACCGAAACGGGGATAGGTAGGATGCCATTGGAATAAGATCGGGTTTAGCCGCAGTGTCGGGTTCGAGCCCCGGATAAGTCTACCTTATCCCGATAAGCCGGTGAGTTAATGAATCACAAAACAGGTGGTGGCGTTGCCACGGAAGAGGATCGTCTTCATCGTCTTCGACGATCGCCGTACGTGTGACTGAATTCGCCCGTCGCGCGAATGACACTACATTACAATGAACGACTAGCGCGTTATGAAACTCGTCTTCGACTAGTCCATTTCGACGAACATTTTCAGCAAAGTCTTCGGTTAAGATTTTGCGGTGTAACGAAGCATTTCCACGGATCTGATGAACAAATGCACAATGGATTTGTACAATTTTTTAAATACTTAATTCGTATTGCAATTAAAAAATTCGTAACAGAAGAGTAAAGAAGAATAATATCGTTCCCTTATTTCAAAAGTGGCACAATTCAAAAAGTGATTTTCAAATTATTACCATGAATAAATTAAGTAAACATTATTCTATCAATCTACAAAAGTAAATTTAACTTCATAAAAAATTATCACGACATAAAAAAGACAGTGGTTTAAAAAAAATTGTCAAAATCATTACACCGTAAAAAGAGTGATTTTTAAGAAATATGAAATGAAAATGACGAAAATGACATTAGAATATATTCTTTTTGCCGATATTATTTGAATAGTCAATAATTTTCTGTTACGCTGAAAAATAGTTTTTCCCCTTTTCTGAATTTTTTTAGTTTTGTTACTTTTGAAATAAAAAAGTGTTAAGAGAACAAAATCTTCTCAAATAATTGAAATAACATCGCTCATTTACTATAACTGTACAACTAAAAAACGAATAGTTTTCCAGAAAATAAGTTTGAATATTTTGGAACATTAAAATTTTGTAATATTAACAATAGTAAGTTATAGAAACAAGAATACTGTCGTATAAATAAATTAACTAATTGTAAGTAAGAGAAGCGTCAAAGTCAGATACTGGTATAATGTATGTATATATATATATATATGTGTGTGTGTATTTAAATAAATTATCTCAAATATATCTGCCGACTACTTTTCTTTCGACTAGTTAATCTTTCAGATTACTTTAAAATGCAATTTTAGTGTGATAACTAATTATAGGGAGCATAAAAATATGTTCTTTTAAAATACGTTCTTTTTTTTCTTTATATTTCTGCTCTTTTTTTTACAAGTATTTAAAAAATGATAATTTTTGAGTTGTGTTATTGTTGTAGCAAATGTGCGACATGTTCAAATAAAAGTAGTTGTATCAGACCATGAAAAATAGCAAATTTAATAATGACTAATGTTTGAATTGTTTAGCCTCGGTAAAAATAGGTAGGCATGTACTCTCGAGTTTTTGGTACATCAACATTAAATGTGTCTAAAGTTTTATCTGCCTGTTTCATGTTATGGGTAGAAATAACACAACGCTTATCAAAGTTATTCGTACTAAAATTTTATCTCGTCTGGTACTTGACAAGAATCAATGTCGTTTCATCAGACAAGAGTCTCTTCTGATATTACGATTAAAAAGAAAAAAAAGTCGAGTTTTAAAGAGTCTCTAAATAACGTAACGTGGAATCTGTTTATTGATTTCTTCTTTTTAATTTGCTAAATAATTATATACTTATTTATGAAACGGTTATCATTGTTTGAGAGATTTGCTTGTAAGTGCGATATCATGATAGATTATGATTGGTTAGCAGCTGATCACAACGGAAATATTATTAATTTCGTTTCAATGTTTTCTAGAGTAAGAGTAAGAGTGGGAGTGTTTGTAGTGAACATATCTGAATTATAGATCTTTCGATAAAAGTGCGACGAGGGAGAAAATATATTAAATTTTACCTTCTTATCGAAAGGTTTATCGGCGAGGTAGCGTGTAATTGAATATTTCAGATCATGCGTCACGTTGCGATTCATCGCGCTAAATCATGCGAACGAACGTCTCATTTTTCTCACCGAATTATTTCATCAATTCCAATTGTTTGCGCGTCGCAAATCTGTTTGTTTGTCGTAGCGCGTTTGTGTCACGAGCGACGACGAATAAAGAAAGTTTCCTACATTTGTGCAACGTCATACGTATCAATCTTATTTTACGAATGACACATCCATGATACGAGATTTTCGACGGAGAATGCACGATAATGCTCTCGCGCGACGTAGTCAGGAAAAACGTCAGGTACTTATCGCGCGAATCAATGAGGATCGATAATATCGTCAACAATAAAATCAAGCGCTGTGACAAGTCAGCTACAAGCGATTATAACGCGATAAGGTGTGACAATGGAAAAAGTAAACCTTATCTTGTCGGAATCAATATATAGGAGAATTTAACATGCTGATTGTACTTAATTACCGAATTCATTCGCGAAGTCACTTTATCACGATTTTATCGTATTTAATTCTTTCATGATCTTAGGGAATGCGATTTGATTTATTGTATCTCATGCATTTTATGCACCAATATTTGTATTGTAAAAGACAATTGTATAATTATATATTATATTTCCAACTACATTAAACTTTACGTTGAATCTTAAAATAATATCTTTTTTATAGATATACAGGGTGTTCTATGGGAAGATGTTGAAACTGATCAGCTGTCATTGTCGAATGTATTCAGTTATTAAAAAACGGAAATTGCGTTGAAAAGAAGAAAGTCCGCAACTTTTAATGGGTATAAATAAAATTTAACAAAATATGATTGTACATAAGTTTATATTATTGATGAAAAATACACTAAATATCCTAATGATTAATATTTTTGAGGTGCGATCATTTGAATTTGTACAAAACTCACTTTTTTGTACGAAAACTCATAAAAACTTTCTACATGTTTTTAATATTGTTGACAACCTTTGTAATAGCGGCTACTAAATTTTACACTATTCTAGAATTGTGTTTACGGTCTTGGATGATAATTATTAGTTTATTTGATTATATTAGCGTATTTTTCATTAATAAAATTAACTTATATAAAAACATATTTTGTTAAATTTTAATTATACCCATTAAAAACTGCAGATTTTCCTCTTTTTAACGCAGTTTTTTTTCCAGTAACTGAATACATTTGAAAATGACAGCTGATTAGTTTCAACCTTACCGTATATATTACAGTGCTGAATGAAAAACTGATATACTTATTGCGTTTATGTTTTAGTAGATGGAAAACCATTTTAGATAGAAATAATTTATTCAAACCTAATTTAAACAAGTAGACATCATTTCTACACTCTGTAGAAAATTGTATTAATTATTTTTCAGGATTTATGCATAGGTATGTATCAAAGTAGATCTATTGTTCTTTGAGAGAAAAAATAATATTAATAATCATTTCTTTTGAAAGTTACTTGACATTTCTAATAAATATCTATAACAATAGATATAAATTATCTCGTGTGTGTGAAGATATCGGGTGTGTATTTGTCCATAGAAATAGGCTAATGATACATGATTCGTAAATGAGAATCGCGTCTAGATTACTGATCGCCTAGGTTACTGATCACTTTAAAGTCACAATGATGATTGCGGGATGGCGGTAGTCTTTAGTATTGTGAACGACTCACCACGTTTAAGTTTCTCCAGCGGCTCATGGTGCAGCTGGTGGCTGGAATTGTGCAGCATCGAGGTATCGTGATGCGAATTACCGTGGAGATCGTGATGGTGCATCGCGCCCTGAAGATGGTCGCCGTGCAGGCTGGCCATCGAGGCGGTTGCCGCGTGCTGATGATGTTGCACCGAGAGGCTGCTCGGAGGCCCGATCACGAGGTCCTGCAGACACAAATCCGCATTGCCTCCGCCACCGCCGCCGCCTCCGCCGCCACCGCCGCCGCCTCCGGCGAGTTCGAGGCTCCCCCCGGCCCCGCCGCCCCGCTCCATACTATAGAAGGTTAACGTCGTGTTGACTGTTCCTTACAACTTGGTGACACAATCAACCTGGCCCGCGAGAGGCCGTGAATCAGCGCGATCACGGTTTGTTCGTTGGCTCCTTCTAAGGACACATTCAAGCGTCCTCCCTGTCTCGTAGATCGGAGAATATCGTTAACCGAGAATTTACGCGATAGTTCTTTAAAGGCGATTATCAATCGAAAACATCAAGCGGTTTGTTTCCTTCGAAGAGAGTATTTATCATGAAAATTTTGTCGCATCGGTTTCTATCAGACAATACAATGCGCGGATGTTGATAGTCAATAACGAGGACTATGGTTTCTTTCATAGGTTTGTAAAGAGATTATACTCGTATAATTCTCTCTTTTTTTTAGAGATTACAGCGCGTTCGTCATACCGTCGCGTCGGCACTCTTTCGCTGGCGCTCCGATTCTCTCTATCGTCGACAACGAGATAACCGTGTACGCGACATTTTGCGCTGGTATTCGAGATGGACCGATGAGAATTACATGGACGGTCGCGAATTCACGGCAAGACTCCGAAATATAGCGCGGGACTCACGTGGATGACACGCCGCGCTATGACACGTGGAGACTTGATAAATCAGAAAAACTGTCGGTTCAATGTCACTATATTGCGTAAAAAAAAGCTAGAAGAGTTATAAAATACGTCGCTTAAGTAGGTTGAACTACTAGCACTATCATCCTCATAAACATCTTCCACTTGAGGTAGATGAACTCATCTACTTCTCTTGCTCCGTTTTTATCTGTTGAATTTTTGCTGTATTTCTCACTTTGATGGAGGCGAGTATTCACGATTTGTCACGATTCTTCTTCACGCTTTTACGTTCTCCCTGTGAGTTTCATCGAAGCGTTCGTGGATCAGATAGAACGTAGAATGTTTGTAGACGTAATCAAAAGTTCCCTACAATATATCTAGCACTACATTGACCACTACTCCTCTCGTCATCCATTCTCTCCGGCGAGATGTTCTCTCCAAGAGACGACATCCGCTTCTGTCACCAATCAAAGTGACGGCGATAATTTGATTGCACGCGATGGACGAGCACGACACTCTCGTGACACCACGATCTGTATTATCACCACTTCCGAATTCTCGTTCGCCACTCCGGGAATTCACTGCGTGAATGTTTACATGCGATTTACAGACGCGTGGCACGAGAACGACGTGGTCTCCTACCCGCGACCGTCGTCAGACGCCGCGGCCGCGGGTAACGACGTCGACGTCGCCGCCGTCGTCGTCGTCGGCACAAGCGCGTCGATGATGATCGCGCAGCACTCGTCACTATTCGCACCTCCGCCCTTAACGTGCGTTGGAGAGGAGAAGCGCGGAGCGGGACACGGCGATAGAGGAAAATATAAGAAGGCGGCGGCGGTACCGCCGGTCGCAGCGGTGTATCCTGATTTTCCCGCCGGTAGATGAAACGCGTCGTAGTGGCTAGCGCCGCGTAAGTCGGTTGGTAGGTGGGTCCGCCAGGCTTAGCCGGTTGAGCCTTTCGGACTGCCTGCCGGCTTAAGTCTCTAAGTCGGTAAGCCGAGCGGATCTAGTGGTCTTGGCTGGTGCACTGGCTGCCTGCTAGCTTGCTTGCCTGGCTGCCTGCCTGCTTGGTTGCCTGCCTGCCTGCCTGCCTGCCTTCCTTGCTTGCCGGGCGGCCTGCGTGACTGTCTGACTGCGCCTCTCCCTCTGGCTCGCTCGCTCTTACTCCCCTCCATCCGTTCCTTCTCTCTTTGCCTCCACACCCGGAGCAGACTCCCCACCTATCACATCTCGCTCGTACTCGTGGCGTTACTCGCTCTCTAGTACCGCTCGTTCCCCTTGGTACGATCTCTCACGCCTGTGTCCGCGTTTCCGCTCGCGCTCCTTTCCTCCCTCGGCTCACCCCATCTCCATCGCATCTCTCTCGCTGCTGTTTGTTCGTGATTCGCATCCTCTCGCTTTAATCGCGTGCATCCTTGTTCATATAAACGAGTTCTTGCCCGCTACCTCACGATCTCTTATACACAGTCATCTTGTCCCTCCATCGCACTTCTTCTAGCCAACCCCTTCGCACGTCTTCCTCTTGCACAGCATCCCTTCTTCTAGAATCGCATGGCGCTCCTTCTCCACTGCATCTCGTTGTTCGCGCGATCTCTAGCACCGAATTTTTTTTCTGTCTTGTGAGTCTAGTCTGCGCGACAGAGTAATTCTTTAGGTGCCTAATCTGTCATTGTTTTCTCTTTGCCTGTTCTTCATCTTCGGCTATCTCGCTATAATATTACAATATTATAGAATTGCTATAATAGAATTTTCTATACCACGATCTTTCGTGTCTCTTTTCGTACAGTTATATCTCTTGCGTATAGTTATTCGAGGCGGTCATACTGGTTAACGTTCAGTGTCACCGACGCGCATCCCTTTCGGTTCATCCCCACCTTTGGATTTTAACCCCACCTTTGACCCGAAGTTGCCCCTCCTACGGTGGAAACGGTGGTTGGCGTGCTTGCCCCTTCGAGCGAACGCACACGCATACGTCGCACACGTGGTGTTTCCTCTTTTCTCTTGAACTACCGGCGATCTTGCGGATCTTGCTATACTACAACGATTATCGTTTGTTGTTTCTCCCAGTCGACCTCGTAACGCCTTGACCACGCGAGATCGCGATCCCACCACCAGCGAAGTAGTCTTCGGCGATTACCCTTCGCCTTCGTAAGAAATGCATCGCTATATCTCACTGTTTGTTTACCTGAAAACTCACGCGCAAATAAAACGGAAAAAAAAACAGCTTGGGATTCCTACGTTGTTGCAAGAAGTCAATCTTGCCGCTTCTCTCGCACGTGATTCATAGAAGAGAATAAAGTGGAAAAAGAGCATCAGGAAATTTTATTAGGTTTGTTTTTTATTGTTGCTCTGAACTGCACTAGAACTTTCTGTCTTGTTTTCGCCAAATTTTAAACATGTATCTGAAAAGTATACATACGTCCTTTATTGGGAACAGTTAATTAAAGGACAGTTCTTTATTTTAGGTAGCTTGTCCTTTAGATTTATTTGTTTCTTCAAAATTCAATTTTGTCCTTTATTTTTCAATATTGTCCTTTATTGTCCTTTATTTTGACTTAATTTTTTTCTAACTAGCGTTCCAATGTCTATAATATTATATCAATGAGCAAATTTTTACGGAAAATATCTTACAGTTTTATGCATATAAATACAATTTGTTTTTGTTAATTATATTTCTTAATTTTTTAAATTAAATTTCAAACTATAGTTGTTTTCGTTTTTTATTACATTTTGAACCTTTTATTATTTCAGATCAAAGATTTGTTTCAATATAGTCGAACCAGTTCCAAACTATCAGAAAACTGCGCATTATCTCTATTTAATTATACTGTGCGATAAAATGTTATAATGCACAAATTTTTGACAATCACGAACTGGTTCAAAAATATGTAGGGACTAAAATTTCCAAATTTGTCCTTTATTTTCTTTAAGAGAGAAAATATAGGTCATCGCAAGTATACACTAGTTAGAGATAAGAGAAAAATATTATATATATTACGATATACGAGTATATTACGATCAGTAAGTGTATACTAGTTCAGTTATAAAAATTGTTAACAATTACCTATGCTGTGATTTAAAACCCTGAAATTTATTAGGAGTGTAGTCGCGAATCTAATATTCACTCGGTATATTTTATTTATTATTTTTGTCACCACAGTATGATTCGTAAGTTATTATTTTGTTTTGGATATAATCATTCAGTAACTTCACCATCTTATGTGTCTCGCAAAACTGAAAATAAAGTTTGCGGCTCTATTTAAAATTGGGATGCTAGTACACAGTTATCGTTCGGCTTATCAGTCGGAGCAAATATCGGTTTGTAGTGATGTCTGGAGTCGTCTGTATTGGGCATACTGTTCGATTTCAAGAGGTGTGCCTTGAGTATAAGGAGTTTACGACTGCGGGCATGCTGCGCGAGCGTTGTCGAGGGAAAGCGAATTCCCAACTGTCTGATCTACTGCCAAATGATACGATTGATAGTATACGCTCACGCGCGATTGGTCTGAGAATTCAAGGCTGCATTCAGGAACTTCCCGGGTGAACCTATGTTTCATTTTATCCTTGTTTAACGTATGGTTTAACAATAAGGCTAAAATGATTCATGGGTGCAGTTTCGGATGAAGTTTCTGAACGCAGTCTAGAATTTATCTATCGTTGTCAGGACTTCAGTGATAGCTTTTTATCATCATTTAGGAAGAACAGCATTGTCAGTATGGTATATACATCATGATGTAAGAGACGTCATGATGATCTCGAAGAGTACAGTCTGATACATATATATATATACATATATGTAGTACATACATATATATATATATATCAGTGGACATACTACATCAAATAATATTAGTATATAGGTACGTTGAAAATAATCTTGCAACAAACATTGACAAACAACAATTTAAATACATTAATCACTTCTTTTTCGCTATTTAAATAACGAAGTCTAAGTTTATCGATCTTCATGCGTAGCATTTAAAATTTATAATTAAAATATGAAAGAGATAGGAATGAAGCAGATAGAAAAGGTTTTAGCCTGCAACTCGTTTTCAGCTTCAGGATCAATCAAATTGCAAGTTGCATTTAGCGTCTCGTCCGTATTACATCGATTGGCATTGCATCAACCGAATAACCTACAAGTTTCTCGATAACTACTTCGTAGACATGACGACGCCCGACTCGTTCTTATCGCGGCGGGGAGCAAGGTTCGGAAGGGTCAGAGACGAAGTGGGCCGCGCGTGATCCTCGTAAGAGAATCGTCAGCAAAGGGAGCCGTGGACGTCGTGACTGGCGTCAAGAAGTTGTCACGCAACAAAATGGAGCGAGGGATGGAAGCATCTTTCAAAGAGAGAAAAAAGAGAGAGGGAGAAAGAAAGAAAGAGAGTCTGTAGAAGAAAAACGACAAATGCAGGGTGGACGGAAAGGAAAAACGGAAAGAGACGGAGAGTAACTACCGACGCGGCACAGAAGGGAGGGGACGCGCGACTCTAAAGCACTCGATGGAGGAGAACGCGGCGGGCGCGCGGAAAACGAAGAGCGCGATACGAAAACGGGGGTTGTAGCGGCAGTACATACGTCAAGCTAGGAACAGAGCGCCATCCCGGGGATCCCCTAACGCCTCGGGGAAAGTAGAGGAGACAAATGACAAGATGGCCACGCCTACCGTGCAGGCCGCGTGGGCGTTATTTGCTGGTGTGTGCGTGTGACTTCCCAGAGTTCAGAGCTAGAGTGGGAGCACCACATCGGCGCGACTCGAGGTCTGGTGGGATAGGAACGGGAGAGAGAGAGAGAGAGAGAGAGGGGGGGGGGAAGAGAGAGAAAGAGAGAGAATGAGAGAGTGGTTACGTATGAGAGACGCGGATGCGGGGTAGGACGTTCGCTAGGGTGTCTTCTGATTTTTGAAGCGACCATCCGAGTTATATGTATGGGCAACGTACATACAGCGAGTGCGATGTCGCTGCAGAAATGTGAAGACCACTCTACCTCGGTAAATTAAAGTCGAAGATGATGATTGGGGATGGACACTGGCTTCGAATGAAATGTGGTTTCTCCTAGTTGTAGAAAATAATGTACCTCTCTTTTCCTTTCTATATCTTTTCCACCTACCCTTGTGTATCGACAATATCTTATACCAGGCATGAACCGTACTTCAGTATCGGCATTTCGATGATTCTGTCGGACGTATCAACAGCTTAATACCGTTTCTATTAAAAACCGTGACAGTAATATTTCGTAATAGGTATTATACTATATGTACACACTCTAAAAAATATGGGTGTGGATTTAACATCATGCAGTGTTTATATAATTCTCACCGTATATTTGGTGTTGATATAAACACTAATATGTGGATTATGATTTAGAACTCATGATGTTAAATCCACATCATGAATTGGTATTTATATTAACACTGACAAGTAAGAATTATACTGAAAAAATCGACGACTCGCGTAAAGATACATGGTCGATCTCGTCGCTTCGTGTATCTTAGCGCCGAGACACTCCTGATATTTAACGTTTATGGTGTTAAATCTAATACCTCTCTCTATATTTTTTGGAGTGCATAAAATAAAGGTATTATTTATCATACCGGAATTGATTTATACAAAAATGTGTTTATTGAATGCAGTAGTAATAATCAACGCGATATGATTTGTGATATAAAGTTACATCTATTATGTACTATAGTGGTATCATAACTGTATATAACAAGATAAATTATTATAATAGAACTTTTTGCCGCAACGCGTTATTTTTGCCAATCAACGATAGACATGATCGGGAAAATCAGACGTTTGTATTATACATCCGGCCATAATTATTGTAATTCGATAATAATTGAAGGATTACGGATTATCTCTGTATATAGGAGAGTCGCTCGCAGCACGGCTTTGCGGTTGGCCTCAACGTCGCTGTCGCATACGATCGCACCTGCTATTCGCTATTGGTCTCTCTCGATCGACGTTCAACCCTGAATGGGATTCGACAATCGGTTCGTTTTATCGACAGTTAAACTTCGCGCGACATATTGTCGGCGCTGTTTTTCTCTATCATGGATTCACTGCATAC